AATCATGTTTTTATTTTTATTTTAAATGCAACTATTTATAAGCTTCTCAGAGAAGCCAATCTTTTCAGAGGTGTTTTATATCAAAAAAATACAGATCCTGTTAGTAGTAGTGTTGCAGCAAATTTCTTACCATAATAATAGTGGCAGATAGGGAACAGAAGGTTGTCATAGTATCTGAATCTTAAACAAGAATTCAAATAAAGGCACAATAAACAGTATTTCCACTTACACAAATATTTTATTTTATTTACTTGGTTTACAATTTGATACTATAAAAAACATAAACTCTCTTTTAAAAATAAGATTTGTTAGGTAAGTTAACAACTGTAAAGCAGTCCAAGAAGCTGAAAAGGAATTGTTATTTTAGTAGGAAGCCTACTTAATAAAAGTGGGAGTTGTTTAAGTAAATATGACAGTGATAGCTACAAATAGTAGGAGCCTTGAGTAATCCTGAAGAAGTTGTGTTTTGTTTTGGTGCTTCATGTCAGCTTTTTACTTCAGGGGACTGCCTAGTCCAGTGGTGACGAATCTATGGCATGGGTGCCAGAGGTGGCACTCGGAGCCTCTCTGTGGGCACACGTGCTGTTGCCCCAGCCTCGCCTCCCCCTGCGACCTCCTCCTCTCCAGCAGCCCCCCTGAAGGAGAGTTGCCCCTGAGCGTGGCCCACACGGAGCAGCGCAGCCAAGGACATGGCAGCCAGGCAGCGTAGACAAGATTCTGCCCTCACACCCCATCGTGCACAGTTGATGCTGCAAGGCGCAGGCAGAGGGCATGACCGCCATAGCGCTGCTGGGCTGCCTGGGCGATCTGCAGCGGGCCCTGGAGGTGGTAAGTGGCCCTGCGGGCAGGCGGGGTGGGGGATGAGGGGTGGAGCGGTGGCGGGCAGGGGGTGGAGCAGGGGCAGGGCCAATTTTTGGGCACTCGGTCTCTAAAATGTTCGCCATCACTGGCCTAGACAAGTCCCTGCAGTTTTCTCGACAAGATTTTGGAAGTGGTTTGCCCTTTCCTGCTTCCTAGGGCTGAGAAAGGGAATGACTGGTCCAAGGTTATCCAGCTGACTTCGTGCTGGATGACCTTGGATTAGGTGGGACTAGAATTCAGTCTCTGGGTTTCTAGCCAGGTACCTTAACCACTATATTAAACTGGTTCTCAGTAGAAATAAGTCTAGATAGACTGTAAGTGCTCCTTGTGACCAGCATCTAAAAGATGTGCATTCTTCCTCTGCTATAGCATCAGATCAGGATTATAGCCTTGTGAGATTATTGTATGATGGAAATGGAAAGATTTGCCAAATCTATGCAGAGGAAAAGTGGGTGAAGATGCCTGAACTTGCTGAAGCAGACAAAACCGATTTGTTGGATTAGAGAAAAGACAATATTGATGTTTATTGGTGACTTGAAACTCTTTAGGTAGGTAGGTAGGTAGGTAGATATATATTCAGGATTATAACCTCATCCACAAGATTAGTGATATCTGATAGGTAAATACAGTGTTTGGATTGCATAAATAGGTGCAAGATGTTTGGCCTGAATAAAGACTTTTGGCATTGCTGCCTGCAGGCAACTCAACATTATGTCTTCACTAGCCTGTCATTTACATGGTTCTTTGCAATCAGAAATTTATGCATACAGCCAGCAAGACTACACCATATATATTTAGGAACAGCTGACACATAAAAACATTAAAATAATTTCTCACACTTCATGAGCACTGGCAAATCTCCCCTATCTATATATTTATATCACTATCTACAGTTGTGGATGTGACAAGCTGTATCTTTTAATTTATTGCAGAGTCTCACCTGAATAGCACCAAGGACTCAGTGAGCAAACTAAACATCATGACTCACACACTAAATCAAAAATGTCAGTCCTGCTTATTATCTTTTTAGATGTTTCTAATTTTAGGAGCAAACACATCCTATCTGAAGTATCCTTCAATTCAGGATTATCTGCAAATGTCTCACCTGCTTGCACTTGTAAGAAAGGAAGATTGTTTTGCTGCTTTGATTATACCGTCTGGTTTTGGCCTCAAACATCTTTTGGAAGGCTAAGCAGAAGCAAATAGGTGCATCAAGCTTTCTTTCCTTGACTCTAGAGCAGGGGTGTCAAACTCACAACGTCACGTGACATGTTGTGATTTTTTTTTTCCATTGCCGGTAATGGAGTAGGCATGGTTTCGGCATGATGCATCCGGCCCATGGGCCAGCAGTTTGACATCCCTGCTCTAGAGCTTGCCTATGTTTATCACACTGCCAATTCCTCATTTCTCCAATATAATTGCTTACCTGTCTTCTTTGTTCAGGCTTCTATTCTAGCCCTAACTGAATTTACCTACCGTGTTTTCCTTAAAGTAAGACCTACCCCGAAAATAAGCCCTAACTAGATTTTCGGGGTTGAGCCTAATATAAGCTCTACCCCCAAATTAAGCCCTAATTTTGGAGTGAGGCACACACCTAAAAATCAAGCTAGGGCATGGATGGGGGCATGGAGCTGCCCCCGCACCCACTTACCTTGCAGCTAGGCCTCTCCTTGCTGGCCCACTTCTGCGGCATCCCAGGCCTGCATTTCACAATCAGAGGCCTTTCTGGAAGGCCACTGCAGCCAAGAACTGAACTATAGATTCAATCCATAGCTCAGTTCTACAAGGCCTCTGCAGCCGAGAATATTGAATCCATAGCTTGATTCTCGGCTGCAAAGGCCTTCCGAAAAGGCCTCTGACTGCGAAATGCAGACTGAACTCCATTCTCAGCTTCAGAATGAAGCTGCTCCTTTGGGCGGGACTGTTGGTGCTGGAGGTGAGTGGAAAAGACACACACACACACATGCCCCAAAAATAAGACCTGGTGCAAAAAAAAATAAGGTCTTATTTTCGGGAAAACATAGTACCTTGGGAATTCCCAGGGTTTAATTATACAAACTTGTTTCTTTCATTGCTATTACTACAAGAGGCTTTCCCCCAATATCTTATTTTTTGCTGTCTAAATACTGTATGGTGATCCTTAGTTTGGCATTTAGAATACTCAGAAATACTGAAGGTAGAAGCAGCTTATGATATTTGTGTAGCAATGGACACAAACTTCATATAGTAACTATGGTTGCATGCAAGGAATATAAACATAATGTTTCTGTTCCCACAACACCAATGATTAAGTCATCCCTTCTGCCATTTGGTTTACTTGCTTTTGGGGAGAAGCAGCGCACATGACTTGGTCAAGAACATTTTTGGTCCTTTCATCCACCACAAAAGGGATTAATACCTCTTTCTTTGGCATTTTTTTCCATCCTTTGGAGGAAAAATCAAAATCCATTGTATTGTGATTGCAGTTGGCATCACAGTGGAAGCTTTCATGGAGCTAGGTAATCTACATCCAATTCTACCTCTTTTTCACCCCACGTGGCCACAGGGGTACCTGTAACCTGAAATGATCATCAGGGTTTAGTGGGTAGAGAAATATTGTTTTCATGGGTCTTCTTTAGGGTGTATCTCTACCATAGATATCAGAAAGGACAGTTAACATTCCTCTCTTGACAGCACTGAGGTCCATTGAATTTCTACAATAGATACATTGCAGACGAATATGTCCAGATTCAAGACCCAGTTTGCTAACTTGGTGAAGGATAACTTTTATTCCAAACTTACAGTCAAATTTACAATTACTAAAATATCAGTCAATCTTTAATTAAGGTGTTGTTAATGAAGTTGTAATCCTGCTTCACAGATTTCCTGGTGGAAGGATCAGATAGTGATTCTATGCTAACTTATCTGGGAACAAACCCAACTGAATTTGATGGAACTTACTTTAAAATAAAAATCTGTAGGATTGCATAATCATTGGGTTTATTTGAAACACTGACAGTGTTTGAACTCTAAATCAGTTTATTTCATTTCTGAATGCCTTTTCATTTTAACTCCTCAACTTGATTTTAGAATAGATGCTTAAATTAAGGAGGTGTCTTTCAGTACTTCATAGGGCTTCTATCCTATGGCCATAGTCACCATTCTTGATTATTATTTTTTTACCCCAGCTCTGCAGATACCCTAACTTCCACTGAGTGCATCTCAAAGTTTACCCATGAAATGCTGTGTTCTCTTTTATACACAAAGAACTCAGAGAGAATTTTTTTTTTACTCTCCAGATGGCAGCACATTGACTCTTTCACAGTTTTCTCATCTGAGTGTTCTTCCCCAAGACAGAGCCACACACATAGAGCACAATGCATTCTGTTTTTCAGGATTGCACAATTGTGTCTTTTAGCTTGTCCGAAAGCAAATGGACAATCTTTATCTTCCAGAGCAAGCTTAGTCTATCTGCAAGCTTGCAGCTTCATTATATCTCACAGCTGGATAACATAAATGCAAAAGGTTCTGTGGCTGAGTGAATGGTGTTTATTGAAGTGAATTGTTATATTGATTACCTTAATATTGGTTCACAGTACTAACTGCAAGGAGACAGAACTAGAAGGCAGATTATTATTTGCATAGAATCCTTCTGAAGAAGAAATGACTCATCCAAGCCAAGCATCAGCCTCCATAAAATTCACATTTAGGGAAAAAAGACAAAAGGAAAAAAGGAATCCCTCTTGCTTATTAGATAGTTAAAAACATTTATATTCTTTTTGCTTAATTTTGAATCAGAAATAGAGAAATGGAAGAGTAGTTACCATTTTTTCCTCTTGCTGGACACTCCAAAGCACTGGACTTTAAAGACTGACACATGATTTATCGTAAGACTAGAAAAAATCTTCAGGAATTGAGGCATGTCCTGAGATTCTAAAAGCTCTCAATCTGGTGCACTTTTATAATTCCAGCCCACATAAGAACTATGATCTAGAAACTGCATTGTGTACTTAATCTCCTGACTTCTCCTGAGACACAGCAGAGAAGAGATAGCGTCATTCTATGAGGCATGTTACTAAGTACATCTTTGTTCATCTTTGCACTATTGTAGACCCGGTTAGCTTCAGGACCTAGGAATCTTTCTTCCTCTCATGAGCATAATGTCTCCTCTCACTAACAGACTAGATTCCACTGTTTTCATGTCTGGGTTTAGAAATGCAGCAAGTTCAGCACAGGCTGAAGATCCAATGCTCTTGGATCTAAGGAAGCTCCTAGGCGGCCACATGGCAACAATGGTAAGAAATCCCTTTCCAGATTCTTGGATAATACATCGGTTGTGTTCCCTTCTGTTATAAGTGGATTTGGCCTTAATAATTTCTTGTTTAGATTACTGTAACATGCTTAGAATTTAACTATTGCAAACAAAATTATAGCCAGCATGATATATTATGCATTATGCATTCTACAAGTCAAAAAGTACATATAGTACTTCATTTGCTACTTTGTTCTTCTCTTTATTGGCAGATCTCAAGCTTCTCAGATCTCCTTGAGTTTTTGTTTGTTTGTTTGTTTTTTAATAGAACAACATTTCTGTTAATTTTTTGTTAAATTTCACTGCAGGATTTCCAAATGTCCTTCTAATAAAACAACATCTCCTTTCAGTCAAAACTTAAGTTCTGATGACTTCATACATAAATCCATATATTTTTCTTGGCAATACAATGCAACTGATTTCATGCTATTTTCTTTTAGAATAGTGTTGTTGTTGTTTTTTGCTTCCCAATCTAGTCTGCAACCCAGGCATTTCCTTGAAGTCTTCCATCCAAGAACTACCAAGATGTAATCCTGCTTAGCCATGAAGCCCAACCAAGGCCAGCCAGTTATATTCACCTGCTGAGACTCTAGGTAGGGTTAGGGTTGGATACTAATTATATATAGTATCTAGTTAGTTACCTGCATTTAAGGTGAACCTATACAGTAACGCATTTATGGCTACCAGCAATGGCATTAATTTCAGCAATTTCTTTTAGCTGCATTTTCTTTTTGCTATTATTAAATACTCTCCTAATCTAAATGTTAATGAAAGTATATCTGGAGTTTGTACATGAAATGGGGAAGAAGAACAGGTGTCCCAATCTTCTGCAGATCAGTCAGAAGTATTGATTGATTGACTGATTGATTGATTAAATTGATTGTGTGCCATCAAGTCATTTTCAGCTTCTAGAGACTGCATAGATAGATTTTCTCCATGACAATCTATCCCTCACCTGTTCTTTCAAGACTCCCAATGGTGCACTCATCATCACTGTAACTGATGATGAGTGCACCAACTAATTTCTTGTCCACCATGCTGATGGCATCTGATGAGGGCAACAGTGTTGCAATTATATTGTATATTGTTATATTTTATATAAATAAATTCTATCACATTGTTTTCTATCACGGTAAAACCGAAGAATATTAATAAGCCAGCACTGGTCTATGAATGTCCCATTGCCTGCCATTACTATCATATGTGCTTAATCACTGAGTCGAAGAAATGCATTAAAGAGACAAGGCATGAACACTTTCTGTTATGTATGACACCAATACAGATATGGCATAAAAACGAGTGCCAATCATTTGCTATTCACGGCAAATAGATGCCAGTTCTTGTGCAAAGAAAGCAGCTGCCCATTGTAAGCAAGTATTGCCATACAATTATGTTCTGTATTATAAAAGCCTCCAAAGAAATCCTGAATGATGATAACACTCATCATGCTATTTCTTAATAAAGGTCACTTAGCTGTAGAGACTGAATAAACAAGAACCATCTGGAAAAATAATTACCCAAACAGCATCTTGATTAAAATCAAGAAGATATTTAGGGACAGAATAAAGCAAGCCATGAGTAATTCAATAGAAAATTCATGCTTGGCATGCATAAAGTTCCAAGTTTAGGTCCTGGTAACTCAAGGTCATTTTATTGTTGTTTGTCCATCACCGTCATTGAAGACCTCCGCACCATTTTTTTAAAATTACGTTGAGACTAGTTGTGGTATGTGTGCAAAGATGACTGAAGAGACCAATTTGGGCAGGGTATGTCCTCACACATATTGGACACATATGTTGTTGCACTAAGCTCTGGTCTTATGTAGTTTGTGCTTATGTTGTGCTTTAGCAATGCACCAGGTAGGGCAGCTTTGTGCCAGAATTTCCCAGGTGCTTGTGTCTATATTAAGCAACCTCAGAGAGACCTTTAGCGTATCTTTGAAATGTATTTTTTGTCCTCTGTGCAAACATCTTCCAGCCAACTGTTTCCTTAAAAGGAACTGCTTGGATATGTGCTCATCCTGCATATAAGTGACATGACCTGCCCATTGGGTCTGTGCTCTCATCAGCAGTGTATGGACTGAGGGTAGACATGTTCTAGATAAAATTTCAATGTCTGACCCTTTGTCTTGTCATCTGATGCCTAATTTCCTGCAAAGTCAGGTCATATGGAAATGGTTGAGCTGCCTTTCATGCCTTTGACTCATAGTCCGTTTTAGAAGACCCTGGAGAGCAGATGCCCCTCGGTATAGATAAGATTAAACTATAGTCTAATTTAATACAGTGAAGTTTTTATGTCTAATATTGCTGAGGCATAATAAAGTGTTTGAATGTACTCAAATGTTTTAATTTAGTAGAGCCATGTTGTGCTCTGGATATGATTTATTTCCAAAAAAACCCCCTAGAAATAGAAAAATGCTTATTCATTGATAAGTAACTGTTGAATAGCCACAGAATTTAATTTGGGAATGACATTCAAACCTCACATTTCACAACCACTAGAGAGGGGGATCTCAACAACAATAACAACTGTTACTTGTAAAAATCATTTACACTGTTTCAGAGATAATAACTTTCTAACATTGATTAGTAACTGATGCTGAAATGAGATTGGAATTAATCCCAGCTTTCACTGAAGTCTTCCATGTGTCGTGAAATCCTTTCCACTTTCAGTTTTCCTAATTCTTGCCATTTTTTTCTAACTCAGCTTCAATGAGAAAGTACGCATTTTGCAATTAGAAGGCATGAATGTGGAGAAACAGGCTAAAGAATAGAAAGCAATTCTGTTCAAGTAATTCTATGATCACATTAATTAGAAATAGGAAATCTAGTTTCTAGAGTAGTTTTGAAGGATGTCTAAATAAGAAAATAATATAAATAATGAAAATAGGAAAGGGGTAATCTCAAAGGATCTTTCTTTGACGATCTGAACAAAACCTGACTGAATTTAAACAATTGTAGAGTGTTATTTCTAGAATTATTTCCACTTCCTTTAACAGAAGTGACCATAATGGATTTTTCCCAGTAGTGGTAAAGGACCATCCCAATGACAGGAAGAGCTATACTGTTGGGAATATATATTCCCAGAAGAGTCACCTGTGATGGGCAAATTAGAGATGAGGGATTAAACTAAATACAATCCACTGGGGAAGAAAATGTCAACCCATTTCAGTATTCTGCCAAAGAAAAGCAAATAGACATTCACAACCAGGACAATGCGGACACGATACTGGAAAATAAGTCAGCCAGGTTGAAAGGTATAACATGAGCTACTGAGGAAAAATAATAGAGGACAAATATCAATAAGCGCTGGTGCTTATGATGCGGCTGAATTAAAGCTGAAAAGATTTTCCATCTGCTAATGTGGCCAGAGTTAAAAGAAAACTTCAGTGTTGCAAAGATATTCTTAATATTGGGACCACGAATCAAGGATATGTCAAATTTGAACATTAATATTCTGGGTATGAGCAAACTGTAATGGATTGGAATGAGTCACTTCATATCAGAGGAGCATCAGATCTTCTTCTGTGGACAAAAAAAAATTCAAAGAAGAAATGGAAAAACCATCTTTATTAAGAAAAGGCCAATGAATATTTATGGGGATCCAAGAATATGTTTCAACTACAGAATCAGAATAGATAATTTGCACAATACCAAAAAAAAAAAAACTTTCATAAAGACTGGAATGCTATAGTCAGAAGTAAAATTTTATAATGAATAATGAAAAAAATGGGCTCAAGGTATAAAAGAAAGCAGGAGATAGATTAATGATATTCTGCAAAGAAATTTGATGCTGTAACACATGTTTCCTTCCAACCTTCTAAACCAGGGGTAGTCAACCTTGGCTCTTTTATGACTCGTGGACTTCAACTCCCAGAATTCCTGAGCCAGCTAAGTCCACGAGTCATAAAAGAGCCAAGGTTGACTATCCCTGTTCTAAACAATGATTCTATATATGGATATCACTGGATAAACAAGGTCAAAATCAAAATCATAGTTGGAGAAGTTCTATTTGGCCACCAAAAACAGAGCTTCTCTTGATTGAAGTGGAGCTCATGAACTGTATCTTGTAAAATTACAACTTAAAAAGAAAACATATAAAATAATCAGTAAACACTTCAGTAACGTGAGGAAGACAAAGAATAATTTACAGGATTCAATCTGATAAAGAAAGTGCCTCAAAAACTCTAAAATTTCTGACATCATTAATACAAAGACCTGCAAATAAAAATAAAACTTCTCTGGCAAAAAAAAAAAAGTACCAATAGTAATGTTAAAAAAAATGAAAATGTGTCCAACTAAAGGCCCAGTCCCCAAAAAGAGCAAAAGGGGGCAAGGAGTTATATTTAAAGAACCTGAGGATGGCAATTGAATGGAAGGGACAAATGTTTTATTTAAGTGAATTACAGAAACCAAGGAAAATGTTCATTCAAAAGGGCTGCGATAAAAGATCTACTGGAGAAAGAAGATATAGAGAAAAGATAATATGAATATACAGACAAATTATACAAAACAACTTGCCTAAATCAAGGATACATTTGAAGACTTGATAACGGAACAGACATTCTGAAAAGTGAAGTGAAATGAACTCTAGAGAATATTGCTAAAGAAAATTGTAGGGGTTAATGAAATATTAGCAAATCTCCAAAAGCTTAAAAGATCATAAGGTTTCTCAGCAGGGTTGGAAAATATTTTTTTCTTCCATTCAATTGTATCTAAATCTCGGAGACTGCTAAACAAGTGCCTGCAGTTTTCTTGGCAAGATTTTTCTGAAATGGTTTGTCATTGCCTCCTTCCTAGGGCTAAGAGAGAGTGACCGGTTACGATCACCCACCTGGTTGCATGCTTGAGGTGGAACTGGAGCTGATGGTCTTTGATTGATGCCTTAATCAAACTGGTTCTCTGCAGAATGAAGAAGTCAGAGGCATTCTGAGCCGCTGGCCAATTGCCTCCTCCATAAGGATGCAGTGGGTTTTTTTTTCTC